AGTTAAACACTGCTGGCGAACCTGCAGCTCACACCTCCTCAGTCGGACTCTCCTCGCTCGCTGTCTAATTATTACTCCCGAGGATGGCTGTCATGTTTCCTGGTGGGACCTGAAGAATCTGTTATAAATGGCCGTCCTAATTTTTTTTTCCCACCGGGGCCAAGTCATGCAAAAACCTACCAGAAGATGAATTTCAGTAATCCAGAGGAGTCTGTCGCTTAGCTCGCACTAAACACAAGTTTGTTTTCAAATTTCACATGATGCCACCTGTCATTGTCATCCAAAAGGAACAGGGCACTTAAGCCCTATGGATCTGCGAGAGTTTATGTTTAGATCGTATTACAGCAGCCATAACAGTTGCACTAACTGAGCGAAGCCAAATCTTCTGACCATTTCAAATCAAGACTGAGAAATTAGGCCAACAATCACAGCTCAGTCATGCTCACCCTCTCTAATACGATGGAGGTTCCTCTTTAATATAGCGGCAGAATTACCTGCAATGAAAATTACATTCGCTGGGGTGTTTTTTTTGTTTTGTTCTGTTTGTTCAGGGAATTCAGTTTAACATTAAAGACATTTCAGAGTTTAAAGCTAAAATTTGAAATGCTGTTTTGCAATCTTTAAGGCCCTGGTGAGAATTACAGTTAGGACTAAACTCTAACAAACTCCACATTAGAGAACACGTTAGGTATCTTAACCTTAAGCATATAAATAGTCTTCAAATCAGTTTAACTGGCATTACAAATATTCAGTCTTCACAATCAGTCAGATTGAACTCTCTGCACTAAAAGATCAGGTCCCATTAAAACCTATAGAATCTAATTATTTAAGCATACTCCCAGAATCTCCAGCAGCATTTGAAAAAGTCTCCTAAACCTTTATCATCTTTTCGCTGAGTATAAATAGCACATTTAAAGGTGTATTGTATGTCCAAATGTCCATGATAGGGTGCATGGCCAGGATAGGCTACTGATGGTTGTAATGATGGGAATGCTTGGCGCATGACAGCATGTAAACAAAAACCAAATATGGTGATTACCATGGTGACATATCCATATTTCATCAAACCAGAGAATAATGAAGAAATCATTCATCGAAGAAATTAGTGGAAAAGAAATCAGCTTTCCCTTCCAGCCGCAGAATATTAAAATCAGGACAACAATGAATGATACAAAATATCCTCTCCCTGACACACTGCATTAACACAGACTGTCGCATTCTAAACTGCTCTGGATTCCCCCAGTTTTCCCTAGCTCGCCACAGGGCTGCTGTTAATATGAGTCCGCTTGTTTATCCGCTTGTGTAATTGTACACAAAGCGGCGATGGTGGCTGATGTGTGAGATTATCACAAGGTCATCCGTCGACGGGATGAGACCCTGCGATCACGCACTAGCCTGATCTGGCTTTCACTTGTTTACATCCTCATTTTGGCTCCAGCATGGCCGCTGTGGCTGCGCGTAAATTTTAAGACGCAATAAAAACACCCAATTCGGCTGATGTAAAGAGGCTAAATCATCCAGGATGTGCAAGAGGGGAAGCGACGGCTTCCCTCCAAATAACACCCCCCACCCTCAAGTCCCTCTCATTGTTTCCTTTCCATCAAATGCGGCGACCCGTGATTATTTTAATACTGATGGAAAATGACTGCCGCTTACGACGAAGCGAATAATTTAAAAAAAAGACGGTCTCCCTAAAATTTGCCCTGTATCGTTTTATTTTATTTCCCTAAATGTGTGAATTTGCCCTTCCACCACGCCACGGTGCACATCAAGAATCAGATCAACCTGCTCTCCTTTCTCTCTGCCTGCCTCAAGACGAAGCAACATTCACCGAAACCCGAACAGCTCCCGCATCCCCGCTCTTACCTCCCGTGTTTGTACGTTTGGTGCTGCTGGCTTCCGTTGGGGTCTCCAGGGGTCTTTTACGTGAGTCCGGGGGATCGGACTCCATGTGTGGTTGTTGATTGTGATGGTGAGGATTTGAGAAAATGCCGTTTTGTTGTACTGCTCCGCCGGCCATCATTTTCGAGCTTGCTCTTGGATGCTTAGGCTGCGTTTGCGTTTAAATCCCCCCTTTCCGTTTTTTTACGCAGCGTAGCCGTGCAGATGAGTCCTTGGAGAGGGTAAAAGCGATTTAGGAATTGCAAAATACGCCTGTTTCCTACGAACGGGGTAGGTTAGCTGCGCGTTTCTCCGTGGTGCGCCGTGCGTACAGAGAGATGCTGCGCAGGGGCAGAAAGAAAGAAACGCTGGAGCGGCTCAGAGAGGGAGAAAACGGGAGACCTCTGCAGATGGAGCGACTTCTAGGCTACTAAAAACGTGCCAGTGGAGCGTCACAGTTCCATCAACCTTCAGATAAGCGGGCTAGGATATGTGTATCATTCCGCTGCAACCAGTACTCATGTCAGGCGGTACAGGATGGTGGCGCTCCTCTGCAATAACCAGCGAAACGGAACAATAACCAAAACAAAACAAAAACACAACGCAAAGCGCAAAGAGGCGAAATCAGCCGAGGAGAGAATAAAGGAAAGGGTGATCGGTGAAGCAATTATAACAATAATAGAAAAAAAAATCCGATTCTTAGGCTATTAGAATTTCGTTCTTCTTATCCTTTCCTGGCTCCAGTCGCGAAGACACCCAGGGGTGACGGGTTGGTGAGAAGGATCCGGAGATTCGGAGCTGGAGGAAGACAGAGAAAGAGACGTTTTGTCCTGCTCGTTCTCTCGGTGAAGATGCTGCAGTCTTGCGTTCAGAGCATCCCTTCGCTGACTGGCTGCCGGAGGAAGCGCAGGGGAGCGGCTGACGTCACAGGGCCTCGTGATACCTTTCTCGTTTTCTGCACCCTCGGATTTCCGACGTTTTACCAAAAATAATTGTTGCTTTTTACTTTGTTCAGTTCCCCATTTCACGGGACAAAAGTTCCACTTTGCAAAATCTGCACGTTATTTAAAAACAACTTTTTATATTAATTATGAATAATCAGCCGCGCTGTGTTACAACACTTTTCACCATCTCGTGATCCGAGACTCAAATTGAGTTGCACCGAATGAGGTTAAATAAATACAGCAAGCAAAAGCTTTAGCCGAAGCTAAACAAGCCAAAGAGAAACGATGCGTAATGCGCTCAAGCAAACGGACAAAATTGAGTGCGCGCGAAGCTCAGAATCACTCATTTTCGACAGAAAGTGAAAGCATCACGAGAGAAAGCGAAAAACTGAGAGAGGGAGTGAGAGAGGGAGAGAGAGAGACGCCTCCGCCGAGACGCGATTGGCCGAAGCTGGAGGCTGCGTTAGTCCAGAAAAACGGAAAGGACTCGGATATGTTCTGCCGGCGGAGTCACGTGACGGAGAGCGAAGGATGCGGCGGCGGCGGCGGGTTTTTACTCCGTTACAGCGGCAAATGCAATTATGGCTAAGCGGGAGCTTGAAGGTCCCGCTGCGGCTGTTTGAAGGTCTGTAAAGGCCGAGGCAGGCAGCCTCGGACACACGTGGAAACCTGCAGCTGATTTCTCCCTTAAATTTCAATCAGCGAGTGGAATTCAACTGGCAAGAGCATGAAGGGTGTTTTTTTCTACTTAAGAAGGAATGACATGAATAAGAAGGGTTTTTATAAAATCTGTTTTGTTCATATTTGTTATTGTTTGCCAGATTTTTGTGTCCAGAGAGCTTGGACCAATCCAGATGACCCTGGCCAGACTGTAGGCCTGTTCAGTCTATTTGTATTTAAAAAAAAAAAAAAGAAGAGGTCTCCCCCCTCTTATTTTCACATTTTTGTCAGTCTTGCAACAATTTTATGCAATAATAATAATTAAAAACACAGCTGACAGCATAGGAATTACATAACCTGAGCTAGGCCCACCTGTCCCCTCAGCTGCTCTGTATGACCCACCTGTGTGTGCTGCGCCTGACATCTCTGCGTCGCTGTGCCTGGGTCTGAAGAGGGATCCTCCAGCACTGCGAGCTGTGTGAGAGAGCTATACCCGCCTCACTGTCTCTCCCTCTCTCACGCACACACACACTCACACGTTTGGCAAATTCTCACACACACACACTCAGAGAGAGACGCGTAAATATCTTCAACCCCCGCTCTCCTTCTCCGTCCAGAGCTCTACAGATGCCGATCGTCCTCGGTGCCTCCTGTAGATTGTAGTCAAGGTGACATTGTCCTGCTTGTTCACACGCACAAGCATACGCGCACGGAGCAGCCACTCACACTATTTCACATCAACGTGAGAAGCACACCGGTGAGCCAGACTCCTGCTCTGGAAATACGTGGCAAATCCAAGGCAGATGGATCCCAAGCTGCAGTCTGAAACAGATTCCGCACCACAAATAACAGGAACTGCTCAGAGGTACAAAAGGCCTGGATGCTGCAGGCACCTAACTGTATGAGCCGCAGCAAGCATCTGAACTGTAGCACAGTTTCAGCTCGACACGGACATTTATATATTTGGAGCAGAGGCAACATTCGCTGGAAGCAGGATTTTGAGGGTCCTGCACAGCCAGATCGCCCATGCTGCTGCTGCTGCATATGGAAAAAGTGAAGTAACCCCATAAGCAGTAAAGCACACAGACTAACGGCATTCTTGAGTTTTTATTAGGTTGGGTCTATGAGCAGATGTTAAGGAAAAGGTTTTTAGAGATTTGGTTGTGCAAACTCCTCTACAGCTTTGGGTACTGACCAAACACTTCAAGCAGTTGCCACAAACTTTCCCGAGCAACACATGCAACGTGGAAGGATAAGATTCCTGCAATATCCCAGTTTTCCCTCTGCGTCCTAATCTAAATGCAAAAGCTTCATTTTAGCCAACAGCAAATCTTATTTGGACTCCCACATGCAGTTTTCTTATGGAAAAAGTTACCACTAAGATTTTTTTCTTCATTTTGGAACCAAAGCCTGGAATTCCCTGTTGTCCAAGATGTTATGTAGTCACTTAAGGACAAGAGGCAAGA